CTTCAGGACCCCCTCACCAAATGGCAGTCGGGGAACGGGATGGGACTAAAGACCCTGACACCCACACCCACACCCCCAGATGTACTGTTGTCTCATCTTTCTCTTCAAATGAAAAAATAAAACAAAAAACCCAGACCTCCTTTTTGACTGAGGCTCAAAGTTATCTGACAAGCAGTAAAAAATCTAAAGGAAGAAGAAAATAAAAAGAGGCGAAATCTGAATTGGCGGCAATTAAGAGCAGGACTTTATTAATTAGATCTGTTACTTTTAACATGTTTGGATTTTATAGTTAGTGGACAGTTTTGAGTGTTTACTCTTCATTTTAGCCAGTTTTAGTGTGTTTTAAATTAAAACTATGAGGCAATTCTTTTTAGACAAGCCTCACAAGGAGAAGCACGGAGGTCTGCAGAGGCAGAATGACAACACGTGTCTTATTTCTCTCCCCTCACTCTTACAGTTAGAAAAAAAAATTATCTCTGGATGTTTTTTTTATGTGAGAAGTGCAGTCCTACAGCAACTTTTCACCATTTTTCCTATTTTCCACATAGAGGAACTCATCCTATTTTCCCCCAAACCAATATGTCAGCCTCCGTTTACAACATGGTCACGTGACAAAATACCCGGCTGTTCGACTGAGAATGTGTTGTTTTGTTTTGTGTGGTTGACGCTCTTTAAATCTGTTTATTAGGATGGAGGTTGATGAATGGGACCCCAGTCTGGAGGAGGACCTGGGCGTGTCCTTGGACGACCTGAAGAAGCTGATCGAAGAAGCTGTGGAGCAGAGTGAGGCGGTGCAGAAGAAAAAAGCTCAGCTGAAAGAACTCAAGCAGAGGGTCGAGGAGAAAGAGGCGGAGGAGGCCAAGACGGAGAAGCTTCTCAACGAAGCGAACCAGTGAGAAGGAATTACCCTTTCCAGTGCTGTGAGTGTTGATGGCAGTCTGACGCTGAGTTTATTTCCTGCTGTCCTTCAGGTCGATATTCGAGTGTGAGATGCTGGTGAGGGCGGCTTATCAGAAGAATGGACTGGTGTACCGGGAGAGCAGCTCGGAGGATGAAGGAGGAGGAGAGGATGGAGGGACCTCTGAAGTGATCGAGATTGATGACGATGAAGATGATGATGTCATCGCTGTTGGTTGTTGTAAGTCGTTGTGGAGATGAGTGCTTCAGTGAAACTACAAAGGTCATTATTTATTTGTTTCTTCTGTTCTGCATCATCAGTGGTTCCTCCAAAGAAGAGTTTAACTCCTTCCACAGATGCAACGGTGAGATCAACAAAAAACACTTTTTTTTCTTTTTAACTTCTCAGATCAAAGTTTCTGATGATCCTTTGTGTGTGTGTTAAATGATTTCATTACGTGAATGTTTTTAATATTTACAGTACATTGAGCAGTAGTCCTGTTTTTATTTTATTTTTTTAAACATTTGAGCGGCCAGGTTTCCTTGTAATCAGTGATCTTCATCAATAATTCTCTAGTTTTAAATTCAGAGGGTTTTTTTCTTATGTATAAAGTACCACAAAGTGATACTTGAGTAAAAGTACAAGTATCTTGCCAAAAAATGACTTTGGTAAAAGTTAAAGTCTCCTTTAGGAATATTACTAGAGTAAAAGTACAAGTATTTTACCAAAAATACTTTGGTAAAAGTTAAAGTCTCCTTTAGGAATATTACTTGAGTAAAAGTCTTAAAGTATCTAATATTTTTTGTACTTAAGTGTTAAAAGTCAAAGTACAGATTTAAAATGAGCAGTTAGATTTTCTGTAAGGACATTTATTAGGAGGTGACCTCCCCAAAAACTGCAGAAATGACTTGTATTAAAAGAATGAATGGATGTTAAATTTAGGATGCACTAGTCCAGCTGTTTCAGTTTATATACATATATCAAGGCTGCACAAAGCTTTTCCCCAAAATGAAAATCTATCTGAGGGCTGCGGCCAAATGTAATAATATAATTCATGAAATACAAATACCTCCTCTTTTTTTGAATAGAGTATCAGAGTTTTACATATTTACACTTCTAATTCAACCACAATTAAATTCACTCTATCTAGGAGGCACAGTTTATATGGAT